GGCAGAGGCAGAGGCAGAGGCAGAGGCAGAGGCAGAGGCAGAGGCAGGTGGATCTCTGTGAGTTCAAGGCCAGCTTCGTCTACAAAGTGAGTGCAGGGCTACACAAAGAAACCTTGTTTCAAAAAAGCAAACAAACAAAAAACCCTGCCGTTGGTTTCGTTTGTTTGTTTTTATGGTTTTTGTTTTGTTTGTTTGTTTGAGATAGAGTTTTTCTGCAGAGCCTTTTTCTGCAGAGCCCCGGCTGTCCTGGAACTCACAAATATCTGCATGCTACTGCCTCCCAAGGGCTGGGATGAAAAGTGTGCTCCACAACCGCCCGGCTCAAACCGCTGCCTTCTTAAGTGATGAGCAGCAATTTACAGGAGTGAAAGGGCCAATTTAAGAAGCTGATGGAGGGTTTGCAAGGAACAGTTAACGCAAGAGAACATGATTCTGTGTGCTACTCAGAGATCTGAATGTAGCGTGGATTGTCCATGCGTATGTTGAATGTTGGCTCAATAGGTAAGAGTAACATAGGGGGCCCCACTGAAGCCGGCTACCAAGTTGCTACTTTATAGATAAACATGAGGTTCTGCAGTTGGGGGACTTCATGGACTGTCCAGGTAACAAAGTATGTCCAGGTATTAAAGAGTGCCCAGGTAACAAAGTTTCATTTTGACTAAGGAGACAAAGTATTTCTAATTGACTTTTAATTTGATTGGTGAAGTGCTTGGGTGTGTTACTAAATTAATATTTCTGGTTTTCAGGGAGGTTATTGGGTTATATTGTATCTGGTTCCCATGAATTGTAGTTTTGTGTTCCAAAAATAGAAACTCAGGCCTGTTAAGTCTGAAGCCAATTTTGAAGCCTGTCAAAGAGTTAGACTGGCTTATTAACAATCATTCCCCTCAGTTTCACCTCCTAACACTAAATAGGAGAAAAACAAAGATAGAAGACAAAAATTAGAAAAATTTCTGAATCTGATTTCTTTCCTTTAGTTTCTTCTTTGAACATGGCTACAATCAAACTGCAACCTCCCGGAACAACCAACACCTACCAATGTCACCCATCAGGGCTCTAGTATTTACATACCCTCTGAAAAATTCCCAGAATTCCACACATCACACAATGGCAGAAACCATCTGCAGCTGTCAAAACCAAGCCTCTGCTAGAGCATGAGGCAAATCACAGTCAGCTGCTGAGTTTGGACTGTCTGAAGCAGCCCCATATCCCTGCACATGGGATTAAAACAAAAGCACATTCTTATAATATTTCTGTATTTTGAACAGAAACTAAAATTCCAGAATTTTTTTTAAAAAATGTCACTACAAGAAGACATGCTGGTAGCTGGAATTTTTAAAACTGATCTCAAATCTGCCTATTTTCAAATGTGTGACTTAACAATTATAACCTTTGAAATTTCTAAGATTTGAGAAATGATTCTCACTTCATAATAAGAGTAATGGAGATTCAGAGTAGCATAAGTGAGGCAATTTATTTTCAGCTTTGCAAAGTTGGGCATCAGCCTAGAATGGCAGGCACACTGACTGAATGTAGAGAACAGTTAGTTTATATACCCTAACACAGGATGCTTCCTCTCTTTTTTGAAAAATTTGTAGGGCCCAATCTCACACATTGTCAACATGCTATCGTTCCCTGTGGTGCTTACATTTGACTTTCTCTCAATAAAAACTCTGTGTTTTACATCTTATTTATTTTAAAGCTTTTCAGACACATGGCTTTACAGGCAAGCTTGAATCTTAGTAATTTCCTACTCTAAACTTTTTCTTTGATTAGTGAGGGTAGCTAAGCAGGGTTTGGGTAGGAGAAATAGCTAGACTAAAAAGAACTGACACAGTTCTAGTGTTTTCTGTTCATTTGTAGCTAGATATAAGATAGCTTAAAACACCTTTGAAAAGCTATCCATCAGATTTTGTTTCTAACAAGAAGAATGTTATTAGACAATATACTAATATCCTGACTCAAATTTCAGCTAACTCTCCAACATTGTATCAATGATAATGAAAGAAATAAAAAAATGTATATTGGAAAAATTTTTTCTTAAATAAGTTTTCTCAAACGACACAGAAAACCTACTGTAGAAAGAATCTCAGCATCCCACTTACAAGAGATACCAGGAGATTTTCCACAGAGATGGATAAATGAAATAGGTGTTGTTGCAGGTTACTGAAAGCCTCTAGTGAAGAGATGTGTCTTGTATTTGGAGAATATTAACAAGCTCTGTCATACCTTTTCTAACCACAGCTTGTTTTCCTAATTCTTCCTGGTTGGGGGGAACAAGTTTCATGGTCAGTCTTGTTTACTTTGCTGTTAATAGTCCAATTGTCAAAAGCTCCATAATAACTATGTCCTAAAGAATGTCTGAACTGCATGGTTCATGCTAAAGAGCTGCTGTTCTTACTTCCCCTAATTTATACCAGATAGGGTTTCAAGCCTTTCTGTATGAACTGCATTTCCCATTACTTTTTAAAAACTTATAAAAATTTTTAATTAATGTTATGTGTGTGTGTGTTTCATGTGAATGTGTTATGGTACAGAATATGCTGAAAGAACAACTCCAGACTCAAGTAGCATGTAAGAAACAAAGAATTTATTCTGCAGAAGTCCAATTTGCTGGGGCTGCCACCATCACAACATGGTGGCAGCCCCGATGGGAGTTGAAGGCCTGTTTTAAAGCCAGATAGGGAAATTTCTACTGTGGCTAAGTAAACTCGACTGGGATTGGCTGGTGCCCCTGTAGGCTACGTGACTTCGATCAGGGCTTGGCCCATGCCCATGAAGGCTACATGACTCTGATCAGGGTTTAAAGGCTTCTTAGACCAGTAGCTAAGCAACCTTATCTCCCTAGGCCAATTGTCACGGCTAAGCCGGGTTTCTGTGGTTTTTCCTGCAAATGAAGTTTCTTTTTCTGAGGAACAGAAAACTCAGGCCTGTTCTATCTTAGCAAGAAAGTGAAGCCTGTCATGAAGTTGGTTTGGTCAGGCTTACTTAGCCAGGCTCTCTCAAATGTAGTTGCCCATAGAGGCCAGAAGAAGGCATCAGCTACTCTGCAGCTGAAGTTATAGGCACTTGTCAGCTGCCAGATGTGGGTGCTGGGAACCCAAATTCAGATCCATTGAAAGAGCAGAAATGACTCTTAACCACTGGGCCATCTCTCCTGTCCCACTTTTTGATCTGGGTATAATGTACTACAATGTAATTATAATACACATTCCACGGAAGAAAAATAATGAGCATTATATGATTTTGCTTTCAGAGTTCATTTAATAGGCATTCAGTTAAGTTTGTTCATTATGTTTCTCAAAACTTCTAAATTTTTATTTATTGTCTGTATTAGGGTTTTTACTGATGTGTTAAAAAACAATGACCAAAGGCAACTCAGAAAGAAAAAAGGTTTATTCCTTTTATGTTTATTTCTATATCACAGTCCACTACTGAAGGAAGTTACAGAGGCAGGAACTGAAGCATAAAGCAAGCCATACTCACTGGCTTACTTCCCTTGGCTTGCTCAATTTGCTTTCTTATGCCACCAAGGATCACATGCCCGTGGGTGGTACTGCCCTCAGGAATTGGACCCTCTACATCAGTTCAATCAATCAATAAATCAGTCAGTCAATCAATCAATCAATCAATCAATCAATCAATCAATCAAGAGATGCCCTACAGACTTGCTTCTAGGCCAAATTCATAAAGGCATATTCTCAGCTGAGAGTCCTTTTTCCCCGATGACTAGCATTGTTGTCAAGTTTACATAAAGCTAATGAGGACATTGACCATTTGAAGTGTTGTCTCTCATCTTGGTGTGATTATCCAGAATCCCACTTCTTGCCTGCCTCATTGCCATCAATTGCTGCTTCAATTTTCCCAATGTGTGAAGTGATACTTTCCTGCTGAGAAAAATAGACTTCTGAGTTTCCCATGTGGAAATGTATGCCCTATCAGGGGCCCATCATCTCATCTTCCCCTTATAGACATTTTGGCCATTGCTCATGTGGGTGACAAAATACTCCCTCACCGTGACTTAACACGGTCTTGCCTAAGGTCAGAGTGCACCTCTCATTCTTTCCACCTTCTGTCTCTCTATAGATACTTTCTAGAAATTAACATGAGGTAAGAAAATTAATTCCAACAGGCAAGCCAGGAACTCCAGCTACTGCTTTTTTGTACCCAGTCAACATACTTGCTTTTCAGCAAGGAAAAACCAGAAAACATCAAATACTCATAATTCCAACATGTGATAAACTAAGTGGATCCATAATCACGCTATTTTAAAATACATATATAATTATGTATATTATATAATTATATATACATATACATACACACTTTTAAAATGAGAACAAAACTTCCCACTTGTAGTTACTGTGCAGCTATAGTTATTCTGCTTCTACCCATGCAGTGTGGAACATTAGCTAACCTCGGAGGCCTGCTCAATTTATGGTAGCTAGGTACAACAGTATTAATATTTTGGTCACATAACTTATCAATCACCAGTGCTTGGAGGTATGGGCTTTGGAAAGCTTGAAGGAGAATCCTCATAAAGAAAACATGGTGATGTTATAAAAACGCAAGGCATGGGAAGTGAATTCTTTGACACCTCTTCCATCATGTGATGAAACAGCTCCTCAGGAGCAGCAAGCAACAAGGTTCAATCTTGAAAGGTCATAACCAGTTTGTTCCTTTGTCTTATACTTCCCAACCTCCAAAATGTTAACTTTTTAATTGTTTTGTTTCGTTTGTTTGGTTTTTGAAACAGTGTTTCTCTGTGTAGCGCTGGCTTTCCTGGACTGGCTTTTGTAGACCAGGTCTCTGCTTCCCGAGTGCTGGAATTACAGGCATGCAACAACACGCCAGGTCCAGTTTCATATTTTTAATAGGAGCACAAACTAAGGTACTATGTTTTTATTTACTATTAATAAGCAGCTATATAAATAATGTGCTCTATGGGAGATATAGCTCTGTCTTTAAAAAACAAAATGCATATCCAAGAAGTTAAGCAGTAACCCTAAGTAATCAAAGAAACACATTAAAAGTAGTTTTCCAACCACTCTTCAGATTGCTTAGAATTAGGAAAACATTGGGCCTATAAAAATGCCAGAAAAGATCCATGTTCATATAAGGAAGCAGTTTTTTGATTGAGGTGCCTTTTTTTCCAAACACAAAGGGCGGGGGAAGAGCTGACCTGCGTGTATTCGTCAAATCATGCTGCCACCAAGCGGCTAATTTTTCACAAGGTGAAAAAGGACAGGTAAATGTTTTCTTCACGTTCGACTTTGTCTGTTTGGACTGGAATGGCCTAGTAAGACAATGAATGAGACGAAATGAAAATGTACGGTGAAAACCAACTGACCAGGACGTCCCATCATTTAGCTTTTGAAGGTGCCCCGGAAGTGAATTCACAATTGATTGACACGTAGTCCTTTCAAATCGGAGCCTGGATGCCATGGCAACCAGCAGCAGGAAGTCCCGGCTTTTTTAAAGTTGCGGTTCCGGGAAGTATACACACACACACACACACACACACACACGCACATACACACACACACACACACACGCGCGCGCGCGCACACACACACACACACACACACACACACACACACACACACACACAC